TTTAGGAGGTCAGAATTTCCATCGCTGAGTCACTAGAACCGCTTCCAAGCTGTCCTACGAATTCGAGTTTTTAACCACACTTCTAAAATTCCGAGCTACTACTGCTGCTTGAATATTTACCTCGACCAAAGGCAAGAAGCAGCTGTCGAGAACGTCATCACCGTCGGATCGATCCGCATTCCCGATGTTCGAGAAATAACTGAATGATTACAAACCGCAACTGCGAGCAATGTCAAAAGGCACAAGATTCTCTATAAAACAGACTCCATACGGAGGAAAAGCCATCACTTATGGGCCAACCCGATACGTATAATATATCTTCGAAATTGCTGGAATATACTGGATTTCAGTGCAAACTTTCCGAATTTGGAGGACATTGCTGCAGACTCTGACTTGGTATTCGTGTCGACGGATGAGTTCGTTGATATGCCTCGCCCTACCCTTCCTAACCTAGTTCACATTGGAGGACTAGGACAAGACGACTCTTCAGGAAATGGAGGATTGGATAAGGTCTCTTTTTCATTGCACAAGCTTTCTGATGTTTTGAATGAACTACTTCAGACTTTCTCCGAGCAAATGGAAAAGGGTTCAAAAGGCGTAGTTTACTTTTCGCTAGGAACTGTCGTCAACACGTCATCGTTGCCAGCTTTTGCAATGAGAGCTGTGATGGAGGCGGCAAGACAAACTCCTGATTATCATTTCATACTGGCTGTAGACCACTATGATCAGGTGAGTAACACCACATGGAAGGACAAGTGAAGTTCTTCTATAGAAGTGACGAGCGGACGGCTACCCGATCGAATTCACCCTTATCTCCATTCTAAAGGTCACTCGCCATCAGAACGACGAGATTATACTATGCTAAAATCTTTCCCAAGAGAGCGAGGCAAATTCATTTTTAGTTCAACTTTTACTTACGGGGTCTATCAGTGTGGCCTTAACAACGCTACATCACTTCTGCTTCGATCCTTCATCCATACTCTAGTCATCCGAGCGCATAATTGATGTCGTCGGCAGCGCGGTGTCAGGAGGCATGGAATAAGCTCATCCTCGCCTCCTCTTTCATCACTAGTGGTAAACAGGTGGAAAACGACCGGTGCTAGAACACGCTGGGGTGGACTCGTTC